AAAGTCAGATCGATTGTGAGATCGATCGAATGAAATAGATCGAGTGAGATCGATTGTGAGATCGATCGAGTGAGATCGATCGAGCGAGACCGATAGTGAGATCGATAGTAAGACCGATCGAGTGAGACGTTAGTTCCTCCCCCCCCGAACCTCCTCATCACCCGAAGGGTGGTCGTATAGGTATACTGGGTCGCGGAGGGCAAGGACGGGGCCACTGAGGGCAGCAACGGGGCCACGAAGGGCAGCGAGGGGGCCACGAAGGGCGACAGCGGGGTCACGGAGGGCATGCATATGGGGCCAGCACGGGCGCGAACGAGCGGGGGCCACGAAGGGCATACATATATGGGGCCACGAAGGGCAGCGAGGGGGCCACGAAGGGTAGCAGCGAGGGGGCCACGAAGGGCTGCAACGGGGCCACGAGGGGCAGCGAGGGGGCCACGAAGGGCGGCAACGGGGCCACGAAGAGCAGCGAGGAGGCCACGAGGGGCTGCAACGAGGCCACGAAGAGCAGCGAGGGGGCCACGAAGGGCTGCAACGGGGCCACGAAACAAAAAGAGGGGACCACGAAGGGCTGCAACGGGGCCACGCAGGGCAGCGAGATCCCGATTCCTAGGTAACCTGTGAGGGAGTCCTAAGCGTGAGCGCGACTCCTGGGCGCCTGGGTGTCGGGAGCGTGGCGCTTGAGTAAATTGCAGGAAATTTCAATGCAAGGGCGCTGTTCTTCAGTAAATGCAGGCAAGTCTCCAGCGAAAGGGCGACTCCAGAGCGCCGGGAGAGCGATTCCTGTATAAATTGAAAGGCTGTGCCAAGCGAGAGCGCGATTCCTGAATAACATGCGAGGAAGTCTCGGGCGGGAGCGGGGGTCCTGGCAAAACTGTGAAAACAAATCTCAGGCGGAAGCCGTTGTTGTTGTAACCCGAGGGCCAGGGGCCCAGTTTGAGCCTCAAGACTTTCCCTGGTAAAGAACAGGGTGCGAGCGTCGAGGAGCACACTTCGATTCAGAAAAAAAGTATGCACCGGTGGGGGGATCAACAATAATTATTTTTCAGAAATGAGAGTTCAACAACAACCACAACCACAACCACAATCACAACAACAATCATTTTGATATTGTTCGCTCTTATCTGCTCGCGCGTACCTCACCACGTATATCCCAAACCCCCGATACCCGCCCTCTTCGTCTTCGATCGTACCCCCTCTGGGGGGTACATCTTCCTGACCTGCCACGTGTATTGGGCGCAGCCCCTAAAAGAGCAAGAGGAATAAGAAAGGAGAGAGAGAGAGAGAGACAGAGAGAGAGGTGGACAGCAATAGGGCCACTGAGGGCACGCGCGACTGGGAGCCACGAAGGGCGTATACATGGGCCACAAAGGGCAGCGAGGGGCCACCGAGGGCAGCATCGGGACCACGAAGGGCAGCGACGGGGCCACAAGGGGAAGGGCCACGAAGGGCAGCAATGAGGCACAAAGGGCGCGAGCGAGCATGGGGCACGCCGGGCACGAACGGCATGGCCCTGACTGGCGGGCCGAGCGGGCGGATCGATCGTGAGTTTTGCGTGATTAGCCAGGAAGTTTCCAGCGAGAGGGCGATTCCTAAGTAAATTTGAAGAAGTCCCCAGCGAACGCGCGATCCCTGAATGGCAAGAGCGCGGCGCCTGAGTAAATTGCGAGGACTTCTCAAGCGGGAGCGCGATTCTTGAGTAAATTGCGAGGAAGTCTCAAAGGGGAGCGGGGGACCGGAGTAAATTTCGAGGAAGTATCGACCGGGAGCCGTTGTTGTTGCAAACAGGGAGCCAAAAACCCAGTTTGAGGAGGAAGACTTTCCCTCATAAAGAACAGGGTGCGAGCGCTGGGAGGGGCACCTCAATTGAAAAAATACAATGTGCACCAGAGGGGGGGATCAACAATAATTATTCTTCAGTAGTGAAAACTCAACCACAACAACAACACATGGAACCAAACAACTTTGACATCCCGTGTGAAGACAATGCGCGGGAGGCGCGGAAGCCCGGCTGAACATTCTCAGGGGCGAGACAAGAGAATAATATCCATAATGTGAAATTGTACCGGGGAGACGGGAAAGGGAGGGAAGCCTCGAACGGCGTGGGTGGAAACTACGTCTCTGAGGATGCACCCAGGAATCGATCGGCGGGCCATTTGTATCAGGAGTCAGATTGACTCGGCCAGAAGCATTTAGCCATGTTCGGAAGGTCTCGAAACCATGCCATGCACGTAAGCTTCGATGGACCAAAGCTTGCTTTGCTGTATCGAAGTGTGGAAAGATATCACCTGAGACAGTTGCTGCACAACTGTTGAGCGCGAGGGTATGTATTAGTCATGAAATACAAACGGCCCAGCGAGGCAGCGAAGTGGCCACGACCTGCGAAACGGCATCAGAAACCCGCGTTTGGCTCGTTCCGCACGTTGTTCCCACGGCGCTTGAAAAGAATACGAAGGACCCCCTCCGGGACAAATGAATCAAGGCGGCAGAACAATGTGACCGTTCCCTCGAACACGGGGTCGATGGTCTCGCCGTGGAACCACTTTTCCTGCTCGCGGAGGTTAGGGAGACAGTAACGAAAGTTAAAATACGCCACCGGGGTGTGAGGGACGAGTGAGCAGGAGGCGAACTCCTCCTGGTCCTCATCATGAGAGGGGGGCCACGCGCAGCTTCGTTTTAAATTCGTTTCGGTGGAAAGCGGCGCTAAACATTCGGGAGATTGCTCACGATGGCAAACTGAACTCAAGAGATCTGCGTTCAAAGACACACTGGTCACATGCCCTCCTGCGTCGACTACGCACGCGCTGGAATCATCGAGGCACGCTGGTAGCGCATGGGAGACGCACACCTCCTGGCGTCGTCGAGAGGCCTCCAAGATGGCCCAAGCCCAAGAAGGCCCAAGAAAGACCCAACATCCCACCAGCCATTTAGGCGAAGGTGGTCAAATGAGCTCTTTCCTTCCCCTTCTAAAACCCTCTTCCCTTCGGTGAGGGGTACCCTCCCCCTCTCTTCCCTGAGGTTTTTGTTTGGGGGGTCGCGATGTGTCAGAGGGTCCTTTTTCGCCCAAGATGGTTCCAAGAGGGCGTCCGATGCTCCAAGATGGTATGGAAGACTGCTTAAGATAGCCGAAATGCTCTCGGAACCCCCTCAGAACCCCCCCAAGAGGCCAAAATCCTTCCAAACAACCTCAGGGGAATCAGTCATGTGTGCATTCCCGCCTTTTGGTTTCCGCGGAGCTTCTGGGGCCTCAAGATGTTTCCAAGATGGCCCCAAGATGTCCCAAGAGAGCCGCCAAGAGGGGCCCAAGAGGCCCCCGAAACGGCCTCAAGGGCGCCCAAGATCGGCCCGACAGCGCCCCAAAAGCGATTCTGGTGGAGGCAAATCGGGAACTCCCCTCTTTTGATCGACGCCCTACGAGATAGCTCCAAGAGGCGGGTCCCCGAGACGGCCCCAAGAGAGTCCCAAGAGGGCCCCGAGAGAGCCCCTAAGACACCTTGGCGGAGCCCTATGAGGACCCCAAGGCCTTCAAAAAAAAACCCGAACGGGCTCGAGGAGGACCCAAAGCCCAAGAGGACTCCAAGAGTGCCCGACGAAACCCCAAGATGGCTCAAAGAGCTCTTGTCCTCGTTATCCTCCTCCTGCCTCCGATGTTCCAAAGCGACCTCAAAGATGGCTCAACACGCGCCTCCCCCTCATCTCCTTGCCCGCTTCGTTTCACTACATGTGTATATTCCGCCCGCTTCCCGTCAGCTCTAATGGGCAACGTTTCTGAATGTGCGGGTGGAGATTTGTTTGGGCACGCGGATTCGCGAAGCAAGTCGAAAACCGTGCAGAAGCTGATGGGGATACTTTTTTGCCACAGCCGCAAATGAAGGCGCAGGCGGCGACAAAGGTCGACCCGGGCTACGGGCGGAGCCTAATTAACCAGCGAGCGCACTCACGGCTGCCGAAGCTGCCGCCGAGGGAGGCTGAGTGGCGCCGAGGGCTGCAGGCTGGATGCAGGAGCTGCTAGGGGAGCCAGGCGGCCAGGGTGCAGGCATCCCAGAGGAGAACCTATGGGAAAAAACGACTCCTGGTGGGGAAACCTTTGGTCAACAGGCTCGCGAGGCGGGTTGAAAGCCGTCCGAACACTGGTCGGGCCGCGACTAGGCAGCAGGAAAAGAAAGGCAAGCGAAGCGCGCGAGCGGGCAGCCAGGTGGGGATATTTGTTTTCGGTCGCGTCCGCTAGAGAAGGCGCTAGCGGGGTCAGAAGTGCTACGGGTCACGACAGCGGCCTAATTAGCAGCTAAACGCGCCGCGAGCCGGCCGGCCCACTGATCCAGCAGCGGCTGACTGCGCGGAAGGAGCGGCAAGCTGAGGACGTCCAGGGTGCTCGAGCACTTGCAACACGGCAAAATGCTGGTGAAATCAAGATGTGCCGAGTGGCAAAACCCAAACAGAGCGTGAGGACGATAGCTGTGGGCTGCGTGTCCAACATGCCGTCGCAGTGCCCAGACGTGGTAAGCGAGGGCCGTCGCCAGTGGGGCGCCAAGCCCAGGCCGCGCCAACGGCGTGCGCGAGCCAGCTGAGCTGCTCCGCCGAGGAACGTCGAATACCAGGCTGGGGGTGGGACGGGCCCGGGGGGCGGCCGCGGCTGCGAAGGCTGAACCACTCGAAGCGGGCTGACCTCCAGGGGCCGTCATCCCGCGCAACATAAGGAGCCACCGAACCTGGAGGGGGCCATCCAAGCACAGCTGCGCGGGTGCCGGCTGAAGCGCTGCGTGAGGCCAAGCTGGTGGGAAGGAACATCGCCAGCAAGGTGGGGAGTCCAGGGTGGAACTGCACGGCAGCTGCCGCCTGATGTACGCCGAAGGCCACCGTGGGATTGCCTTATCCGCCGAATCCGACATTCCCCGCAGGGGTCCAGGGTCTCCGTCGAATCCGTCATTCCCCGCGGGCGTCCAGGGTCGCAGCTAACCGCCGCTGAAGGTGAGGTAAAGTTACCGCTATCAGCGGGGGTCCTGGGCAACCCTGGGGTGTGGGGACGTTCGTCTCCGAGACCAGGATACTAGCCTGGCGGCTACCCAGCCTGGGGGAGACCCGTGGGGAGGGGCGGTGGGGACAGACATCACCGACCCTCCACGCGGAGGGGCTCCCAAGGGACACCAGGCGAGGGGGGGGACTGGTGGGGATACGCGAAGCGTGAAGAGTTGTCCAGTAATCCTCCAGGACTGCCTCAAGACAGCCCAAGAGGGCCCCCAGACGGCTGCAGCCACAATGTGGCCCAAGAGGACCTCCAGAGGGGCACGAGGTGGCCGACGGCCCAAGGCGGTCCAAAGACGGCCCCACGACGGCCGCAAGAGAACCACCAGACGACCAAGAGGGCCCCAATGAAGGGGCCCCAGGACACACAAATAAATACACACAAATAAAAATACACCCAATATTTTCCCATATGTTCTAGGGTTTTCTCTTCTCCCCCACTTCCCATATTTTCCCATATTTTCTAGGGAATCGGCGATTAATTGTGTCTGTGTGTTTCTTTCCCTCCTGACCCAAGACGGCCCAAGCGAGCCCCATGACGGTCCAAGAGGGCCACAAGACGGACCCAAGGGGCCCAACGGACCCCGAAGGCTGCCCCACAGGAGCCCGAGAGGACGGAGAAAAGGACGGGAGACGACAAGGACGACAAGAGAACCCCAACAGGACGCGGAAGAGTGTGCAACATGTTACGGCGCTCTGCCAAGCCTCGGGACGCGAAGCGTCACACGGTGCGGCCTCCTGTGCGCCCCCCCAAAAAGGACTGGCACCGCGGCGGGATGCGCTGCAGAGGAGACCTGAAAAATCGGCCTTGGACTGACGGTCCACGCTTCTCGTTCTTCGAAGACGCTTCCCGTCACCCGCCAGCGAAGCATCGGGTGCAGCGAAACCTCCTGGGTAGAAAATTCAGGTTCGGGAAAATGGACCGCGCCGGAGACGCTTCCCGTCATCCGCCACCATGCCTTCTGGCTGGCACGTTGAGGCACGGTTGTTGTTGTTGTTGCTGTTGCTGTTGCTGTTGCTGTTGCTGTTGCTGTTGTTGTTGCGCAGGCGATAGAACAACCCAGTCTCATGTGCAGCAGAGGTGAAAAACGTAGACCACTAAACGTAGACCACTAAACTACACGATCTCAGCTCGGGCGAGGCGGAAGGCGCCTCAAAGCGAGGATAGGCCGGCACACCCAGATCGACCTACAGTTGGCGCCGGCCGGGGCGGACAAATCCTGCCCCCCGGTGAGGCGCGGTGGAATGGCAAATGCTCTGTGGTAGGGCTTCTGCTGTCGTTCGTCTGAGGGGGCCCCCTCTCGGCGCGCTCGGGGGAGGTGCGTCGCCCCCCGGCCAGGGCCGCCAAACAGATGCCCGAAGATGCCTGCAAGGCGGCCGAAGACGGCCCCCGACCGTCCCAAGATGGCGTCAGGACCATCCCAGAGGCCCCCAAGACGGCCCAACAGGGCTCCAAGAGGACCTCCAGGTGTGACCGAAGAAGGCAAAATGACTGACGCCCACATATGGTCTTCTGTATGACTTTCGCAGTGACTGCCTGTCCGGGCGTCCACCAGTTCAAGACGGCCCAAGAGACCCCCGAAAGTACCCGAAAACAACCCAAGAGGCTCCCAAAGATCCTCAAGACGGCCCCAAAGGCCCTCAAGATGGCCCAAGACGGCTCAGAGAAGCCCAGACGTAATCCGAAGCGGCCAGACTTCCCACGAGCGCTCGAAGACGGCCCAAGGAGCCCCCAAGAGGACGCGAGACGCCCCCAACGCAAGACGCCCCGAAGAGGCATCCAAGACGCCCCGAAGAGGCCAAGAGGAGGGGGGAAGAAGAGGAACAGGAGAAAACGACGACCAACACGAAGAGAGACACCTCGACAGGAAGCGGAAGAGCGTGCAACTTTTTACGGCTCTGCCAAGCCTCGGGACACGATGTGTCACACGTTGCGGCTCCCTGTGCTGTCCTCGAGCAGTCGACACCCAGAAGGCGGGGCTTGCACGGTGGCGGGTCTTGCCACAGGTAGCTGGATGATCGAGAATGGCCCGCGCCGAATCAGGTGCGCAGCGGGTCGATTCTGTCCACACGCGAGCGCCCTTGCCCACCCCCACATCAGCCCGGCAACAGGCGTAGCACGGTCTCCTTCAGCGCATGCCACTCAACACGGATGCTCTTGAAGTGGTCCTGCAACAAGCGATAATCCTGCTCCTGCTGATGCTGCTGATCGTCCCCATCCCCCTCCTGATCCCCATCCTCCTCCTCGTCCTCCTCGTCCTCCTCCTCCTCCTCCTCCTCATTATCCTCATCCTCCTCCTCCGCTATCATTTGTCCTTATGTATGAATTTTCCCTGTCGCACCCCGAGGACGAATTATGACTCTGAAGTTTAAAAATTGGCAACAGCTTTACAGATGGAGAGCGGGTCGTTTTCAACAATTGCATGAGTTACATTGTTTGAGAGCGACCCCGTTTCAACAGATAGCTCTCGCCTTAGCGTCGCGCACATCCGCTGTACAAAATTGCAAGAACTCCACGGAATGAGGGCAGCCCGTTTTCAAAATGTGGACTCGCCTTAGCGCCGCGCACATCTGTTGTACAATTTGCAAGGGCTTCACGGAGTGAGGGCAACCCGTTCTCAAAATGTGGACTCGCCTTAGCGCCGCGTACGTTCGTTTTAAAATTTGAGAGAGCTTCACGGAGTGAGGGCGGTTCCTTTTCAAAATGTGGCTCTCGCCTTAGCGCCGCGCACATTCGGATATAAAAGGTGCAAGAGTTTCACGGATTCCCATGATCAACGTACCAGGGATGGTGTTGTGGACGGATTCAGAATCATGTGGGTGCAACAGTTACGTTGGTTCACAGTGTTGAAGTCCCAAGATTGGCGTTCTGGCACGGTTTAGGATCGTCAAGACGCAACAGTCAGGTCGATCCGTGGCGTTGGAATCCCGACCACAATGGTTTGGTATGCTTCAGGGTCTTCAAACGGTGAGGAGGCCCTTGCGCATCTTTGGCAAGATTCAGTGCAGTCCATCGCAGCCTGGCACGCGACCGTCACGCGGTATTGCGATGCCCTCTGAGGCTGTTGTTCGTGCTCATGTGCGTTTTTGCACTCAGCTTTTCTCTCTCTCTCTCTCTCTCTCTCTCAGGGTCTTCAAACGGTTGTCTTCCAACTAGGCAGGTCCATCAATGGAACTGAACCTCTGTAAGGGCCTATGAAGAGGGAGTTTGGGGAGGGTATATTCCAACATCGTTGATGATTCTTGGGTTTGCACTAGTCCTCCTCCTCATCCTCATCATCATCATCCTCCCGCTCGTCCCTCCTTTCCCTCCTCCTCCTCCTCCTCTTCCTCCTCCTCCTCCTCTTCCTCCTCCTCCTCCTCCCGCTCCTCCCTCTTCTCCCTCCTCCTCATCCTCCTCCTGCTCATCCTCATTATCATCCTCATCATGATGCTCCGATGTTTTCCTTTGATGCTAGTGGTATTCCTCCGCCTCATCATCCTCATTATACTCAATCCGCCTCTTCTTCCTCCTGCCCATATTCCATTCCTTGGTTGCCCACCCCCCCTGACGGAAAAAGAACCGCCAGCATGTGGAGAAAAAGCGTGCCCACGTCGAGGACGCCTGGCGCTTTCAAAAAGGACAGCAGCCTTGCGCAGAAACGATAAGAAACACTTAAGGACGACGAGAGAACGATGCGGCCAGTGCCGCTCCAGGGGGAGAGATAAGGGAGAAGAGTGGAAGGGCGTGGAAGAGAAGGTGGAGGACGATGACGACGACAACCAAAAAGAGGGGAGGCCAATTCCAACTCCTGCACTAATGTTAACTGCCAAAACAAATGAAGACTGACAATTGTGAATGAGAAGCTTTTCATGCGGGCCGCACGGCGGTCGTCTCACTGGCGCAGTCCCACGGGCCGAGCCAAATGGCGCAGCGAGCGCGCGGTGAGCCGGGTTAAATTTTCTCGGCGGGGTTTCTGGGAACATCTGGCAGCATCGGCCTATCCGCTACTCAACGGCAGAGAGGCAGAGAGGCCGCACTCTTCACAATAATGACCTCGTCAAATTGTTGCATCGGAGGAGGATCACACATGGATCTTTTTATGAGGTTACTCGACCATTTGTGACAAGTACCAGCCTGCCTCTTCGTGCCGGTTGGGAAGAGTACCAGTAGGTGGGGATTGGTGCGGGTAGGTTGGGATTGGTGTGCCGCGCCAAGCGGTCCGTGCACCTTTTCCGCCGGATTGTAAAATATCAAAGAAACTACACTGATTCGTGAACACATACACGTAACACACAACATGTGTTTACGTATATGTATATAAATCGCGTTTGGCGAGCGCTTAGGTTCTAGTTGACGTCTCAACCATTTGCTACGCACGGAACATGATGGCTGCAAAAATATCAGGGCTCGTTATCATCCTAGTGAGCCTCATCGTCGTCCCTATTGTTGTTTCTCCTCTGCCTCTTCCTCTTCGGCCCTTGTCTGACAATGGACCGTGGTCCCCTGGGACCCCTTACCCCCTGGGGCGCACTCTGACAAGCATCTCGAAGCGAATCCACGCGAGAAACGTCAGCAGCATTTGCATCCTCATCGTCACTATCGAGGTCGTCATGCGTATCATCAGCATCACCAAGGACATCCGTCGTCATCATCATTTCCATCATCATCGTCGTCATCGTAATCGTCATCGCTTGTTCCAGAGAGGCGTTTCGGAGCACGTAAACTGAGAGTTGGCGAACATATCCGTCATCAGCATCACCATCATCATCGTCATCAGCATCGTGAAAAATCATTATCACCATCGTTGTAATCATCGTCATCGCCACCATCATCGTGATGGTACGTGCTCTGGAAAGAATTGGTACAAACGTCATCACCATATTCTACTTATCGCTGCGTTCATCATTTTCATGATCGGCGTTGTCATCATAATCATTATCACCATACTCGTCATCGCCATCGTCATCGCCATCGTCATCGCCATCGTAACTATAGGTGTTCCGAAAAACTAAAAGGAAACAACAACAACAACAACAACAACAATCATTTAAGACTGGGGACACTCCGTTCTCACCAGTGCCAGGGTTTTCATAGGAGGCGGGCAATACCCCCACTTTGTGGGGGGGCCGGTTCAAGCTCTACCAAATTTCCAAACGACTCTTCGCCACCACCCACACCCAGCTTCCCGCCCTATGACGTTCGGACACTTCACTTCGTGGCATGCGGACGACCGTGGCTACTATTCAGGGCCCCGCGGCCGACGACGACGGCGTGCGCGCGCGAAGAAAAAACGAATGTGTCCAATATGGTATTATTTGACAGGGATGATGGCCCTGGCATGCGCGCAACCGTTGTTGCAGAAGTTCGAAGCACGTGAAAAAGTTGCTCGCAAGAGCCCGTTTGACAGAAATGTTGAAAAAATATTGGGTTTCCTCAGAAATCCGCAAGAGCGCGCAAGATGAATGTTTGAAACTTTTTTTTTGAAAAACCATTGGGTTTTTCATGTTTTTATGTTAAAATCGCTACGAAAACTAAGGTTTTGGAAGGATTTCATCTTGCGCGCGCGAGTGTGCACTTCGTGTCATTTTTTCAAAGGATTCTTGAAGTTTGGTTATGTTAGAACAAGAAATGTTATTTTATAGTGTTTTTTGCAAGGGAAAGCGGGGTCAACAAAACAACCGGATCCGGACACCCACGTTTTGCCTGAGACTTCCTCACGAAAATGATGAAAATGTGGCTGCGGCCTAGGCGCGGCGAGGGGGCCGCGCACCAGGGGCCCCAACAATAATTATTCTTTAGAATAAATAATGTTCAACAACAACAACAACAACAACAATTACTAGCACGTGGGGACACTCCGTTCTCACCAGTGCCAGGGTTTTCATAGGAGGCGGGCAATACCCCCACTTTGTGGGGGGGCCGGTTCAAGCTCTACCAAATTTCCAAACGACTCTTCGCCACCACCCACACCCAGCTTCCCGCCCTATGACGTTCGGACACTTCACTTCGTGGCATGCGGACGACCGTGGCTACTATTCAGGGCCCCGCGGCCGACGACGACGGCGTGCGCGCGCGAAGAAAAAACGAATGTGTCCCGCATGGTATTATTTGACAGGGATGATGGCCCTGGCAGGTGCGCAACCGTTGTTGCAGAAGTTCGAAAAAGTTGCTCGCAAAAGCCCGTTTGACAGAAATGTTTAAAAAGTGTTGGGTTTCCTACGAATCCGCAAGAGCGCGCGGGATGAAATTTTGACATTTTTTTTTGAAAAACCATTGGTTTTTTGATGTTTTTATGTTAAAATCGCTACGAAAACTAAGGTTTTGGAAGGATTTCGTCTTGCGCGCGCGAATGTCCACTTTACCTTATTTTTTGCAAGGGATTCTTGAAGTTTGGTTATGTTAGAACAAGAAATGTCCACTTTAGCTTATTTTTTGCAAGGGAAAACCGATCGTAACAACACAACCGGATCCGGACCCCCCGTTTTGCCTGAGACTTCCTCACGAAAATGATGAAAATGAGGCTGCGGCCTAGGCGCGGCGGGGGGGTCGTGCACCAGGGGCCCCAACAATAATTATTCTTTAGAAGTAATAGTGTTCAACCACAACAACAACAAAAACGTTTCTGGTACAGGCTTAATGAGGTCAGCGGGCACGTCCATCATTATCATCATCACCACCACCATCATCGTCATCAACATCGTGCACAGAATAATCATTATCATCACTGTCACCACCATCATGGCCGAAGTCATATTCGTCCGTCATGGAATTGTTGTGGGCCGTCATGGGGGGATCTGGGCGCTACGTAGGTTCTCATGGCAGCGTAGCGGGGCCCCGTGGGAGATGTCTTGGGAGCCTCGCGGGGCCCTTTTGGGCAATCGTGGGGCCCCCATCGGGTTGTTTCGGGGCCCTCTTCGGCGATATCGAAGCGCTATTGGGAAGGTTACAAGAAGGTTTTCGGGGCGTCTCCGAAGCACCCGAAGTTTTTAGAGGTGTTCTTGGGCGCTTGGAGTCGTCATTTTGGTGAGGGGCGGCCCTTCTGGACCATGTTGGACAAGGAAACCGCCGCGAACCCCCCCAAACTTCCCCAAAACGGGCCAAAGAGCTAGAAAGATCACGTAGCGAGAGACGACGACGACGACGACGACGACGACGACGATGACGACGACGAGGACGACGATGACGA